TAGATTTAGGTATTTTACTGATGAATCTTTATTTTACTTCTCCCTCTGAGAAAATGATGGGCTCGAAGTTGTTTTTAATTGTTTTTTCAAAAGATTGTAATCTCATTTCTATATTAACAGTAATAATTAAAGCTGACTTTTTATCTGCAGGTTACAAATCACTTGAAACGTAAGTTAGTGGAACTTTGCTTGAGGTAGGTATTACTATCTTTCTAAGACAGAAACTAAGGCATAAGGTTGTTGGTTGCCAAGGTCGTATTAAATCAGGAGCAGAACTAGTAAGGACTGTGACCACTAGGTTAGTAGTTTTACCCAGCTATTGGAATACTAGGCATTGAAAGTACTGTATTTGAATCCTTACACGAAGTTAATTACAGCTACCACTGGCAGTGACTGGAACTTCCCAAACTTCATTTGGGAAAAATACTTAAGAGAATTGTATTTATTAGTATAAGGTCCTAAGATGATAAGCTTAAAGTTTAATTTTCAGGATATTTTGGCATTAATTTTCCAAACTACCTAAACGGGCAAGATTCATAACTGTACTTTCAATTAAGCAAGTATCATAGTGCCTACTTTTTGCTAAGTTTATCAAAATCACAGAGGTTACTAAATAGTATCACATTCCCTTGTACAAGAAATCACTTTTTAAAAAATCATTGGGTAAGATTGAGTTGATTCTAATTTTCATGTCTTAGTTTCACAAATAATGTTATTAACAAGTGTAAACCAATACTGCAAAGTAAATTCACCCCTTAAACTTAACTTGATAAGAACTAAAAGTACTCTTTTTCTAGATACCCATGCATTTGTTGATTCTTTACCTTGTAGATAATGTAATAGGGATCAAAAGCATTTCCTTAAACCTCAACATGTATATTATTACATGAGCTTAAAACTAAAGTTTATTACTGAAGAATTGTTAGAAATGAGATAAGGGTGGTAATTGCTTAATTTAGGTAATTGTTTACCTAATAAAAGTAATGTTACAAATAAAGAGTATTGTCGGGAATTAATATTTAAGAGCAGTTCCTGGTGAGTTGAAATTAATTGAGGGGTACTTTACTTGCCTTGCTTGAGGTGTTATATCAACATGTACCAAGGTAACAATTCCTTTGAGTTAATGTCCACCTGGAATGATTTGGCCACAGACTTAATATCTGAAACAATTCTAGGTGTTTTCAAGTAGGTGTGCATTAGCAACATTTACATGTTGGACCTAGAGGAAGGGTTTAAGAAGGATGACTAAATTACAGGTCTTCTGACCTTTCTGATGCCACGGGAATGCTTGGTGGTGTTTCCTATTCCTTCTGTAGAGAATTCAAACATAGCTTATATTTGTAATTAGGTCTCCAGAGGGTTTCAGATAGCATGCAACCTTGTTGTGGATGGAATTACTGTTAGGAACAGACAAGTAATAAATTCCAAAATAATTACGATTATTCTAATCATAAAGATTATTTTAGCTGGTGAAATTGTGAGATGTTAACTGGGGAGTATAACAGTTGAAGGAATCTTGAGCTAGGAGTTAAGAGAACTGAATTTTATTCTTCCCCTGCTGATTATCTGTCAGGCAAATGAGTTAAACTTTTTTGGATTTCAGAGATGTATCTGACACAAATGAGTTACAGGTGTAAGAGATTAAAATAGAAATTTAAGCAATTTCTTTTTTAATTTCTGGTTTCTATAGCTCATTTGTTGCCAGAAGGCTGGAAATGATATGAAATAATTTTGCTATCAAGGCAGTTTTTGTATGTCATTAATATTAACTGCCGTTAATAAAAGTATTTCAGTCTTTAATTTTATTAGTAGTTGTCTTTGGGACAACTTTATAAGTATTTGTTCATATGTAATATGTATATGCATTCATTCTCATTGGGATCAGGGAAGATTATGGTTTTGTACATAATTAAATTTGCTAGAGAATTGGATTGGTGAGAACCAGAACTACTAGATGCATAACTGCATGTGTTCTTTTAGATACTGGAAATTTGGGGGTTATATAAAGGGGAAAAGGATTACTGTACTATTGGTGTATTTACCATGATAGGTTATAATTTTCTTGGATTTATGTGAATAATAACAGGAACACATACAAAGCCTTGGTGCCCAAACCTGCTGTCAGTACACTGGAAGGATAAGGCACTTTGTTTATAAAGAATTAGTCTTTAGGTTAATAGAAGTTCCTTGTTAAAGTTTAGTTAAAGTCTTCGCAGGTCTTAAATATGTGCTGATAACAGAATCAGCAAGAGGACTACTTAAAATATTCTGGGCTCTTTAGCCCCAGAGTTTCTAATTAAGTCAGTCTGGAGTGGGCCCTGAGAATTTGCATTTCTAATAAGTGCCATGTGATACTAGTTGGCAGACCTTTTGAGAATACCCCTTTAGAAGGGATTCAGACCTCCCAGAGGATTGTCAAAGTACAGTATAACTATAACTTAGGTATATGGTTATTTACAAAGCATTGGAATTATGAGCTAAAGTAGTTTGTTTTTTCCAATCTCACCCAAGGATACGCTTTTAATTTATTATTAGACAGGAAGGGGGAGAGAGAAATATCAATTGGTTGCCTCCCATATGCACCCCAGGGATCTAACCCAAAAGCTAGGTGTGTGCCCTGACCGCGGACCATACCTGCAGCCTGTAGGTATAAGGCATGACACTCCAAACAACTGAGCCTTCCAGCCAGGGCAAGTAGTTGGGTGTTGGTTTTTTTGTTTGTTTTGTTTTGTTTTTGTAATGAGTGGTAGCTCATTAATTTATCGTAACATCTTGGGAGACATGTTCTTGACTTTGAAAGATGTCAAAATTTTTTAATATTAACTGCTTTTTAAGTTTATGTCTTGTGACGCATGTGCAAAGAATTTGTAGATGAGCCACAGAGTGAGTTTACATATTACGAAAATATTAAGTTCTTGGTTCAGGCTATGACTCCAAGAAAGGCCATTGACTAGACATTCCAAACACTGATTTGAAGGAGTTAACATTCAAAAGGGTGTCCATTTTTCTACAACTTTTTCTGTAGTTTGTACATTTCCAACTTAACACATCAATCCAAGGGTAAAAGTAACTTACATGTTAGGCCTGAACTGGTCTACTTTAAAAAAATTTACAGTTAAAATTTTAGACTTACAGTACCTATTCCCATTGCTGTAGTTAAATTTTTTAAAAAATTTTATTTTTAGAGAAGGGAAGGAGAAAGGGAGAGAAACATTGATGATCTTTTGCCTCTTGTACACAGCCTGTACAGGGACCATTCCCTGACTAAGGACCAAACCCACAGCCTAGGCACATGCCCTGACTGGGAATCAAACCAGTGATATTTCACTTTGTGGGACAACACCCAACCAACTGAGCCATACTAGTCAGGTCTCAGCTTAAAATTTTTTAGTTTACTGACATTTGGAGATGAGGATAAAACCTCATGGCTGAATATTGAAATGTAAGTGCGAGTAGTTCTTTCTTATTTACTCAAAGACCTACAATCTCAATGTATGTAAATCTTGTTTTCACTGATGACACAGCCAGTCTGTCATGAATGTTGTCTTATAATTCATTCTTGGAATTAGCTACATATACTAGTCTATAATAGTGGTACCACAGAAACAAGAAATTTCTTAAGGAGCATAATTTATTTTTCAAATGTTTTATGACATTAAATATTTAGTAGCCATAAAGATTTTTTCCCCCTTCATCTCTGGTTTTTCATTCAGTGACTGGGATATTGTGCTCCTTGTTTAAAGCATCTTGTTACTGTAGAGCCTATCAGGTGTTGTGATTTGTTCACTGATTGGATTTGAGACTAAGTGGTATCTTATGCATCTTCATGGTAGGGCATTTTCCTTCAATCTATATTGTAGGGAAAACTACATGGACTTAAAAAAACCTGTGAATTTGCTTACCTTCACTAATCTTTTTTTTTTTTTTAAGATTTTATTTATTTACTTTTAGAGAGGGAAGGGAGGGAGAAAGAGAGAGAGAAACATCCATGTGCAGTTGCTAGGGGCCATGGCCTGCAGCCCAGGCATGTGCCCTGACTGGGAATCGAACCTGCGACACTTTGGTTCGCAGCCCGCGCTCAATCCACTGAGCTACGCCAGCCAGGGCACCTTCACTAATCTTGATAAGCTCACTTCTTTATTTCTGTTGGCCTGGTTTTTCCATATTTCCCTTGCCCAAACTCGGGATCAAGATGAATGTTTGAACTAAGACCTTATATGAGACCCTTAAGGGAATACATGTGCATATTTTAATTTTAGTTACCTGCTTACTGATTTTGGAGAATTGTGGAGACAGTCCCTGGTAGAAGTGATTCTATAGAGGCTCTCCCCATCCCAGTGAATGTCATGCTTTACCAAAATGTGTTAGATGCAGTCAGTGGACAGATGTTTCTGTCTTGGGGTTTAGGGCACAACATTTCTGAGGAACTCTGACTCAATCTGTCCCTTCTCCTTTCACAGGGCAGCAAGGCGAACCCCATCCCTACTCACTGGAGCTCAGCTTTGATTTTTAACCTCCCTATCCCACCCTTCCAGAACACACACATTCCCATTCCAAACTGATTTTATTAAAAAAGACAAAAATCCATTTTAAACATAATGATGCAACTTGGTGTGCACTACGGCAAATTTACAGGTGTTTTTTTTTAATTGTTTCCAAAAACGGGACTTGGATTTAAGATGTAATTTTTAAAATTTCTATTTCTATTTTTCTGCAGCAGTTGGGTTAGAGGAGGAGTCTTTTAGCCTCTCATAAACTGACCTCTCTACTTCCTCGTGTATTTTTAAGATTGATTGATGATGTGGAAAGGGCTTTGCTTGTCTGCTACTGAGAACTTTACCCTTGCGGTTTTTGTGGAAACTGCTTTTGGAAAGAGAAAAGAAATGAACTTTACTGACTTGACATTTTTGCACCTCCCGTTTTTCTAATCTGGGCTATTTTTATTTTTGTTTTTTTACAGTGAGATTTTTTTGATCTTCAGCTACAGTAAGTTATTCCAATTTTTTTTTAACATTTTTCCTGACTTTCCGCTGATTTCCTTTTTATTGTTGTTACTAGTTACTATTATTTATTATTATTATACTTATGATGGTGATGATGGTGATGATAATGACTGATGATTTTTAACCCGATTAAAATCCAGTTTTTCTGAATGTTCATAAGAATTTCTCCAGCCTCCTAAATGACTTTGGAGTTTTGCATCTTGGGAGAGAAAGTGACGGCATTAGCATTTTTAAGTGGATTGATCACATAAACCTTTTCTCTCCCAACCCCACCCTTGCCCTCATCCCCTTCCTCACGCTCGAAAGAATTTTACTGGCTGTTTAAGTCTGTGATCTTATTTTTCCTGATCTTTAACTTAACTGTTTTAGAGCATCTCTGGACGTCTGTATTTTTAATTTTTTTATTTTTGTTTTTTTATTTTTAATCTTTCATTTGTTAAATTTTTAAACTGTGCTTCAATAAAATGTGTGTGGTACTACTTAACACCTATGAAGGTGATGGCATTTTCCCAGAAAGCCATCTTCCTCCTGTTTCCCTTGAAATCCCATCCTGATTTTCCTGTACACTACTACCCCTTCACAAACCACAAGCTGCAGCAACATGGATGCCCAGCCTGGAGCAGCAGCAGCCAGGATGACCTGGAGCCAGGGGGGCCTTCGGAACAGATGCACACCCTTCCTGGGTGATGGTAAGAGGTGTGAGGTCCACTGGTTTCATTGTGAAGACTGGGAAATAACACCAGTGTAAGTTTAGTTGAGGTGTAGGTGATAGCTTCTGGGAATTTTAGGGTTAATCCCTCCGTGTGTTTGCGAGTATCTCAGACATGTTTCCAAGGGAGGCCACTACAGTTTTTTTTGTAAACTAATGGAATTAGGAGTATCTAGGTAACTTGGGCTGACTGAGAATTTTTGATAATTGAAAAAAGCAGCTGCACGTTTACATATACTTAATGAAATGGCTTGTTTTAATGATTAGCAACAAAGTGGTTCTGTACTGAACCACTGTCTTTCTGTTGCAAATTAATAAAAATTTTCTGTCATTTAGAGTATTTCTTGGGTTTGTGACAACAATTTTGGATTGTATTCTATTGAGACTACTTACTAAAATTTAACATGAATCAAACCACAAGCTTGCTGTAATATTAAAATGCTGTCTCACTGGAAGGTTTTTTAAAAAGAAAAGGATAGGAGGGCTTTTTAACCTCACAAAGCAGGGAAATCCCTTTAATCTTTGTATACAAATCTAGGAAGATCTAGGGTTGACCTCTTTCAGTAATGACTTGTGGCCTAGCTAGATAATGGGCAATAAAGTGTGTTCCTGAGGGTCATAGGAAGGAGTGAATTTGGGCTATTCACAGGAGTATTGTAGAGATTAGTAAGAATGTGGATAGCCAGAGTTAAGAATTTTTGTAACCTATAGTATTTTACTGACAACAGTGGAATATTTCGATAACTCTCTCTAATAGATTTTGAGCTGGGGCAGAATGATTTTTAAAGGCACATCAGTGCTGTGGTACTAGAATCACGTACTTCCCTTGTACTGAAATGGTAAAATCTAGTTAAAGTGAACACTGAAGGCAGCCTTAAAGGAAGACAGAATGGAGGAAAAAAGTTAGGTAAAATTTCCTGAGGTTATCTGGAAAAGGAATGGAAATTTATCTTTTATTAGGACCAAGTTTTATTAATGCTCTCTATTCTCTGAAATCTGTTCAGCCGTTCTCTGTTACTGTGTGGCTGCTGTTCACTATAGGTTTAGTTTAATTTAGTCCTTTTTAATTCTACCAATGCATTACTTTATGGGTCATATTATTCTGGTTTTGGAGAAACAAAAGGTGTAATAGTCTTAGAGACTCGGTCCTAGGGAGGGAGACAAATGAGTGAGATTTGTCATATGATTGGAGGTAAATACAGAACCTATAGAAACATGCAAAAATGGGTGCCTAATTATTAAGAGGCCAGGAAACACTAAGAGAAAGGGAGCTAAAATGAGTTTTAGAGAAGGCCAGATTATAAATGTTTTAATGTCATGCCAAGGAGTTTCTATTTTATCCAGGAACCAGTGGTCAGCTATTGAAAGATTCTAAACTGGGGAATGACATTAGATATTTTGGTGTGGAAATGGCTTAGAGGAGAATGAGATTTGAAGTAGGTGATAAATGAGGAAGATACTAAACTACAAGGAAGAACAATGATCCCAAAAGCAGTGGTATTTGGATTAGAGAGGATGAGTAACTTCAGGAGGATCCTGTGGTGGGTGTGATGTGAAGAGTGGGGGATTTGGCTTGATGGCCAGCGTTCCAGCTTCTGGGATGAGAATAGTTGCTAGGTAAACAAAAGGGTTAGGGTTAAGAGTAGGAGAAAGCTGTTTAAACAATGATCTTTGAGATGCTCATGGACACTCAAGTAGAGATGATACGTTCATTAAACATGTGAGTGCTTATTCTGAAAATCATTAGGCATGTAGAGATGACCAAAACATACTGTCCCCTGCCCTCTTTGGTATTACAGACTATTGAGGAGAGAAATAGTGAAATAACACTTTCATAATGTAGTGTATTTTGCCATGTATAACCACTTACCTGTGCATAACACACACCCACATTTTCGTACACATTATACATGGGATTATTGTACCCATTTATAGTGTGCTTCCTTATTTTTTCCTCAAAAAATTGGGCAAAAAGTGCGCGTTGTACATGGCAAAATACGGGTAGTTCCACGAAGTGAAAGGACAGGGTGAAATGATGGTAGGGGGATCAGATTTACAATGTGGAGGTGTGAGTTTTCCACCAGTGAAGAGACCCTAATGGAACTGATGGAGAAATGGAAATCTGTAAATGGATTACCATATCTGAATGCATATAATGAGAGAAACAAGCCTCACAGCAAGAAACACTGCTGGAGAATAGTTGCTAAAAATGCATAGGATAATACCAGGCATAGTGTACAGGTCCTAATCAGGTCCTGTTTAAGACCTAGGTTATCTGTTGAAGGACTTGGGATAATGGAGAGATCTGATATCTTTGGAATTTCCTTCTGGCTGTTATCTGGAGAATGTTAGTAATAAGGACAAAGTACAAGTATTACAGTAAGTTACAAGACCTACTGGAGTAGTTGATCACTTGAAAGTAGTGATCCTAGGCCTGAGGTTACTTGCCCTTATTTTTCAAATGAGTTTTCTTTGTATTAATTAGGGAACATAATTTATTTGAAGAGGGTAGGTTGGTCAGGCTGTTTCTTATTATTGGTTGTTTCTCTGTTGGGTGTCAAACTCATTTTCACCGAGGGCCACATCAGCCTCATGGTTGCCTTCAAAGGGCCGAATGTAGAGCCTCTTGCCCCTAGTTAAGGAGTAGTTACACTTATACAGTCCTATTATTTTGGCCCTTTGAAGGCATCTGTGAGGCTGTTGTGGCCCCCCTGTGAAAATGAGTTTGACACCCCTGCTCTTAACAACTTGGATCAGGCATGATATAATTGTTTCCCAATAGAAAGGAAAAAGGGGGTAGAACTTGAAATCCTTTCTTTTGGATGTAATAATCTGGACATTTTACAATGTGTTCACTTAATCTGCATAACCTTATGTAAATAATATTCACATTCTGGAGATGTGAATGTTGAAGTGCAGAATTTAAATGATTACATAATAAATGGTAAAGCATGGGTTCAGTCCAGACAGTTAAGCCTGGAGATTTCAACTTTTAATCATACTTGATTGACTAGTTTACATATGAAGTATTCAGTACCCCCCCCCCCAAAAGAAACTGCTTTGGACTTTTAAAAAATCTTTAAAGGGTTTTAAACTAAATATTGTTGTATATTTTAATTCACAACACTTTCAATGGCATGAAGAAGTGACAGGTGATAAATTATTGAGGTTAGGTAGATGTAGCTTTGTGGTATAATTTTACAGAATTTTTGGATTTGACAGCATTCTTTTAGAGAAGTAAATGTATCTAAAAATTTCTTTAGTTAATTGTATTTATGGGTTTTTGCAACAACCCCAGAGGGATGTTGCTAAATCCACTGGTCATTTTTTAATCCTCATCACACTTGACCTGTTTGTGTGACCTTACTAGTCAAGTCACTTTTCTCCCTGAAATATTTTTTACCTTCAGGTTTTTCTTCTCCCACTTGGAGTTCCTTCTGTGGTTCAGTACTTCCACTTCCCTTTTCTATTCACACTCCTTGGGTCATTTCATTCAGTCACATGATTTTACGTGCCATCCGTAAGCTGACGATCCATCTATTTTATCACCAGCTTGGGTTTCTATTTTGAATAACGCATAGACTTACCCAGTTACTTATCCACTCAGACTCTTGAATGTTAAGTATATTAACTTAAAAGTCCAAAACTGGGACTCATGCTCTTCCTTCAGACCAATTGCCTCTGCGTTGTTACCCACTTCAGTTCATGAAACTGCAGTTTTCATGACATTTAGGCTAGACTTTGGTTCGCCTCGACTTTTTTTTGTCCAATACCTCATCTTTGGCCTTGTAGAAAATCTTGTCAGCTTTTCCTTTAAAATATAATGAATTCCCCACCTAGACTTCCATTGCTTGTTCCATTTTCAAGCCACCATTGTCTTTTGTGCATTGTTGCAATAGATTTGTTTCTTTTGCCCCTCCCCACCAGTGTAGATCAATCCTGTTAGAATGGAATGCTTGAAGTTATATAAATGTCTAATCACTGTTTACTTGAAACTAATACAATATTGAATGTCAGCTGTGCTTGGGGGGAAAAAATAGGGGAAAAGGTATTGCTTGCCAGATGTATTACCTGAAAGAGTTTCTGCTTGAAACTCATGTAATAGCTGCTTATTTCAGCCTTACAGTCAAAATTTTTATTGTGATTATCAAGACGCCCTATGTGATCCCTTGTGCCCCTCCTCTCTTACTAATAGTACTTTCTGCTCCAGTCACATGGCCTTTTACTGTGTCTTGAACACGCTAGATGTTCTTATCTCAAAGCCTTTCCTTGGGATTTTCTTCCCCCAGACATTCATAAAGGTTCTCCAATTTTAAGTACTTAAAAGCTATGGGTGATATTTTCCCTCGTAGCGCTTCAAGCTTGCCCCTCCCCCCAAACACACTAGCACTTTTATTTATTTATTTTTTTTAAGATTTTGTTTGTTTATTTTTAGAGAGACGGGTAGGGAGGGAGAAAGAGAGGGAGACAAACATTGGCCTGCAACCCAGGCATGTACCCCGACTTGGGAATCTAACCCAACGACCATTTGATCTCCAGGCCTGCTTTCAATCCACTGAGCCAAACCAGCCAGGGCTATACTAGCTCTTTTACTAGATCACCTCTTACAGAACTTTATTTTCTACTGTGTAAAATGGGAAACAACATTGATTACCTCTGGGCAAGGGAAAGGACTTAGGAAGGTGGAAGGAAACTTGCTCTGTGTGCTTAAAGACTGATATTATAATGAGCAACACAGTGTTATTTTGCTTCTAATTTAAAAATTTGTAGAAATATTTCAATTCTTTTAGTATTCTGGGTATAAATAGTATAACTGCAGGCTCTGTCATAGGGTTTAATAGCAATTTTGGTAATTTAAAAATAGCCTTAAACGAGGTTTGGCTGTGATGAAATGAGTTAACATTTGAGGGCATAGGCTGCTGCTGTGTTATGTGTGATGGGGCTGTAATCAAAATTTGGGTGAACTTTTATCATTTTTAA